TGATTGTTACTTTAATTTTATTGTATAGTATCGTTAAATCTGTCGTTACGTAACGACGAAAAGTGTCACTTTATGACACGACGGATTTGGTGTGGTGACGTCGTTACCTTGCTTTTTTCTCTCATCATGCCCTTCCTTATTACTAAATAATCATATTTTATCCTTTACCCTACTCTTTTATATAATAATTCTATTTTGTATCCTTTTTTTTTTCTTAATAATATTGCAAGTTTATTCTTCATATTATTGGTGCACGATATCATGAAAAGACGACAAGCGATACAATCTATCCAGACATTGTGTACATCAAACAATATAATACAATACAATACGATACATTATGAAACGACAATCCCAACAAGCTGGAGCAAAACTTAGAATTCCCTTTGCCAAATTACAAACCTAATTTCACCTCATAACTCACTCACGTCACATGTCAATCATCATTGAAAGTTCGCTGGCATCTGCGAAGATCCAACAACGACTAGTGAAAATGTTCTTGCGTCCATTTAAACTAATGACAGTAGTGCTTCCGCTATTTTCAAATCATGGATTTGCCTCTGATTTGGATAAACTCTATTGCATGAGCAAATCTTCACCAACTTAACTAGGAGATATATTTTAAATTGAACAATTATGCAAAATTTTCAAATATTAAATGTTCTTTAATACCAACAAGTGAGAAAGGAACTAGCATCGGAACTTCTTCTTTCGATTAAGTGACATGGAGCAAAATAGTTCATAAATTTATGTTAAGGAAAGTGATTATCTCTATTTGTTTTCACTCGTTGAGATGATTTCTTTTTGTTGCACCTAATTTATGACACAAAAGAATGTCAACATTTGTACCGCATATTGATTTCGATTAATCCAAACCAATCTTTTAATTATTTCAGTTATTAAAGTAAATATCATGTTTAAGTCAAATGCCTCCATTCCTTTTCAAATGACTATTAGTTATTCACTGATTAACATAGTACTGAATAACATTCTTTTTCTACCATATATCGAATATTATTTTAGTATTATCAAGTTGAAAATAAAGTAAAATTCTCTTATGAAGTTAATTAACACCAATATTACACATATATTTGGTAATATCTATGTATATCAATGTGAATTTTTTTATTCGATTTTAGCTGTGAATTTTGACTCCAAATAAATCCAAATCACCTCAATTCTTCTTCAAATTTTGTATATAGCTTCATCCATATATTGTTTAACATATTCCGATCATACCTATAATTTTTTTTGAGTCCTTTGGATATATATACAACAACAACAAGAAGACAGAGAAGAAGAAGAACGGGGAAAAGAATGAGGAGAGAAAGCTGGAAAGGAAGAGAAAAGAAAAATAAAGGGAAAAGAATACGTAGTACCAAATAGTAATAGGAAAATATGATAACTGAAGCGAACTAAACAACACGACGTAACATAAATCTAACAATACGAAGGGACACGAGTGTTATAAGTACTACATATAATAAAAGAAGAAACTAACAACTACTTATTAACCTTCTGCCCTAATCCTCGACCTTCAACATTCCTTTCAAGGGTCATGTCCTCAGTGAGGTGGAGCAGCTGTATGTCCTGCCTACTCACCTCTCTCCAGTACTTCTTTGGCCTACCTCAACCTTTTCTCAAATCCTTTATGGACAACCTCTCACACCTGCTAATAGGAGCATTAATGCATTTCCTCTTAACATGCCCGAACGATCTTAACCTCGACTCCCGCATCTTGTCCTATACGGAGACTACTCCCACTTTGTCTCGAATAACTTCATTCCTAATCTTATCTCTCATAGTAAGGCCAATCATCCATATCAACATCCTCATCTCACTTACTCTCACCTTCTGTATATAGGAGTTATTGATTGGCCAGCACTCTGTCCTATACGACATAGTAGGTCGGACCACCACTCTGTAAAAATTACGCTCAAGTCTCGATGACGCATTCTTATCACATAGAACACCGGATGCGAGCCTCTATTTTATCCATACCTTCCCAATACGATGCGTAACATCCTCGTCGATCTTCCTTACCTTAGATAATAGACCTGAGATACTTGAAACTATCAAATAACTTGAGTATCATGCTTCACATCAACGTCTGCTTCTTGAGTCCATCACTGAATTTGTACTCCAAGTATTCTATTTTGGTCCTGCTCAACTTGAAACCTTTAGACTTCACAGTCTGTCTTCAAACCTCCAACCATGCGTTAACCCTACCTCGCGTCTCGTTGATCAATATTATATCATTGGCAAATAACATGCACCATGACACCTCCCCGTGGATGTGTTGCGTTAGCACTACCATCGCCAAGGTAAATAAAAAGAGGCTAAGTATTGATCCTTGGTGCAACCTCATCATAACTAGGAAGTGTTCTGAGTCACCTTCCACAGTCCTCATCCGAGTCTTAGAGCCATCATACATATCCTTAATCACCCTAGTGTATGCTACCGAAATGGCTCTAACCCCCAGAGACCTCCACAAAACATCCTTAGGAATTTTTTTGTACTTTTTTTCTAGGTTAATGAATACTATGTGCAATTTCTTCTTCCTTTCCATATACTGCTCCACTAATATTCTCACCAGATGAATAGCTGGCATAATCGAACGCCCGACATGAATCCAAATTGGTTCTCAGAAATAGACGCGCTCCTCCTCACCTTAGCTTTTACCGCCTTCTTCCAAACATTCATATAGTTGTTGCAATTTTGAATATCATCCTTGTTCTTGTGTAATGGAACCATCATACTCCACGTCCATTCCTCTGATATCTTTTTCGTCTTAAAAATAACATTAAACAACCCAGTAAGCTACTTCAAGCATTCTCGACCCGCGTTCTTCCAAAATTTCATCGTGATTTCGTCTATCCCTATCGCTTTGCCGCTGATCATCTTACGCATCGCCCCTTCCACATCCTCTACCGTAACACACCTACAATACCTAAAATCATACAAACTCTAAACTCCAACTCACCCAACACAATGGTTTTGTCCCGCTCTTCGTTCAATAGTGTATGAAAATATGTATGCCATATTTGTCTAATATGTGCTTCGTCCATTAATACTATGCCATCATCGTCTTTGATGCACTTTACTTGGTCCAAGTCACGGGCCTTCTTCTCCCTCACCTTGGACAACCGGTACAACTTTTTGTCCCCGCCTTTACCTCCAAGTTCCTCATAGACGTTTAAACACAACAGTCTTAGCCGCTATAGCCGTTAACTTTGCCTTTTTTCTTTGCCTTCTACTAACACTCCCTAATGTCATATTTTCCTCCTCGTTTGTGCTCTCCACTAACTTCAAATAAGCATCATTATTGGCTTCCAATTTACCTTGGACTTCTCCATTCGACCACTAGTTATTTTTATGACTCACAGAGTAATCCTTCGTGACCATTAAGAGCTCTCTAGTAGCTACCCTAATGCAGTTCGCTGTCATTACCCACATAGTAGTCGCGTCCCCCTTACTCATCCGGGCCCTCAAAGCCATCAACCTCTCCCCCAACTCCATAGCTTTGTCCATAGTCAAGTTATTCCACTTGATCTTAGGTTGCTCGCATACCACTCTCTTCTTCCTACACCTTTTGATCTTGCAAGATGAAGCGTGAGGTGCTCACTCGAGATGACCTTGCAATCAATGCACGACCTATATCATATTTTCTGTAGAGAAGGTAATCAATGTGGGTCTTAGCCGCCAAACACCGGAATGTAACAAGGTGCTTTTCCCTATTTGGAAAACTCTAGTTAGTTATCACCAAATCAAAAACTCTAGCGAAATCCAACAGTGAGGTACCTTCCTCGTTCCTATCCCCAAAAGCGAACCCGCTATGTGCATCATCATAACCCGTAGCCTTATCCCCAACATAGCCATTGAAATCCCCTCTAATGAAAAGCTTCTCGTCGGCAGGATACTTCTCACAACCTCGTCCAAATCCTCCCAAAATTGCCTCTTGACCTTATGATCCAGCCTACATGAGGGGGTGTAAGCATTAGTAACACTTACCGTAAACCCTCCAACTACAAGCTTAATAATAATCAACCTATCATTTATCCTCCTAATCCCCACCATAGTTCCCTGAGGTCACTGTCTACTAAGATTTCTACCATGTTCTGTTGGATATATATAATTGATAATTTTTTGTTGGTCAAATATAATAAATGATATTCTATAGATAAATAACAATTTTTATTTTGGTACATTTCCATAAAGTTCCCCACTTTCTACTCCAATATTTATCCATCATGACACCAAACAAAAAGAAAAAAGAAAAAAGAAAGAAAAAAGAAAGAAAGAAAAATCGAGGAACTACGAAACTGGACCGACCTAGTTAGATTGAGAGAAATTCAAAAATAGCCAAATTTATGAGTGGTCATTCAAAAATAACCACAATTTTAAAAGTAATCGAAATTTAGTCACTTTTCATGTAAAGATAAATCTGAACAAAAACACTATTCAAAATCAAGAAAATACTCTAGCATAATATACTGCAATTCCAGTATAATATATTGGAACTCCAATATAATATACTGGAGTTCCAGCATACATAATATACTGGAGTTCCAGCATAAATATATTGGAACTCCAGCATATTATACTGGAGTTCCAGCATACATAATATACTGGAGTTCCAGCATAATATACTGGAGTTCTAGTATAATATATCGGTCCAGCAAAATATGTTGGAAGTTCATACATAGGTGCTCCAATCTCCAGTATATTATGCTGGAACTTTCCGCGTGTTGGAGTTCCAGCATAATATGCTGGAAGTTCATAGGTGCACCGATCTCCAATATATTATACTGGAACTTTGCATGTTACAGCAAAATAGTGGTTATTTTTTAATGACTTTGCAAATGCTGACTATTTTTGAATAATCAGTTAAAACTGCCCGTGCTATTTTTACACTTGGACTGGATCGTTATAGTTAAGCCCGTTAGCCCATATCCACGGATCATTCGTATTTCTAATCCGTACCCCTCCAAAAGGTAACTCCACAAAAAGAGAAAAAATAGTAGAAAAATATAAAGCTGTAAATTCAAGAGAGGAACGAGGCAGAGGCGAATTCGTGGGGATTAATTTTGCTTCTTTGGGTAATGAGAGTTGATTCTACCCCTGCTTCAAAGCGTCAGAGATTCAGAGCCGTTGATCCAATGGAGTTGGAATCAGCTAAAGTATTCCTTTCAATCTCTTTCTTCTACTGTTATTTCAATTTCTGTGTTTTACCATATGCGAGATTGGACTTCTTGTTTGTACCAAGCTTGCCCAACCCTGATTAATTTCACGGTGGGTTAAGAGATGCCTTTCGTGATTGCTTACAAAGATTTTTCTTCTTAATAAAATCTTTTAAAAGAAGTTTGTATTAAAGACCTACTCCAGTTGAAGCAATATTTCTGTTAAAAATATATTCTTAAAAAGGGTGCCAGTTGTATCTGTTGTAGTTAGCTTATTTGGACATTTTTTTTATAACAGTGTTGCTTCTTGTTAATCTTTGAACCAATTTACAGTCATTCCATTGTTTTAGAGTTGCTTCAAATTGAGAAGTGTAGATGGAACTTAGTAGATCAGTAAACGCAAATTATATGATCTTTTGACGCTCTCTTTACGCGTGCACGAATGACATGTATTTGTGGAATCCACGCATAATTGGCGATAATAGAAGAAAATATCTATATAGCTGATACCAATTAGTTGGGAATATGTTTTAGTCATGTTAGTACTTCTAATTCATGCCTTATGCTTTCTTAGAGTCTTTTAGTCATATCAGATTTCTGTACCAGTATAGGGAACTCCTAGTACTTTTTATTTACGTTTTTGTGTAATATTAGCATGAGATGAGCTAAAACGGCATGGTTAGTGAGGATTCATACGGCCGGCCACAATTTTTAGTTAGGATTGAGGTGGTTTTGTTGTTGTAACCTGTATCTCAGGCTTCCCTTTTGATTTTGCCGTGCTTAGTCTCATTCTTTAGAAGTGCCTTACAACAATTGTCATGCTATGGCGAATTGTTACTTAGCTTATGTTTCAAATATCTATTTCTTAATCCCACGCTTTGCTCTTATTACTTGGAGAGTTGCTACCATTACATGATTACATCTTGAACAGAGTCATGCAGATCTTCAATTTGGTACTTGCATAGGGTCTAGAACATAGTTTTGAGTAGAATTTCTTAAATGGAAGAGTAGAAAGTCTTTGGATGAAGTCTAAGATGAGAAAATATTGCACTTTGATAATTCAAATGTGGTAAAGGAGTCCAAGGATTATTGTGATTTATTTCCTCTTATTGAAGGCTCGTGTAATTATTGTATTATAACAAAAGAATAAGGTGATAGTTTCATCCTGGGAAATATTCGTAGACTTCAATAACTGAAAGCACCCAAAACGAGCTTAAAAGAAGGGCTTATAGACTAAGCGAATGATTTGACTCCTTAAGGGAACGGAGACTGCAGAGGCGTGTGTAGGCCATAAAACAGTTAAGATACTGGCTTCAGACATTTGTAATAGCTCGATTTGTAGCTAGCAGGGAACCGAATTAAATTTTTTTAAAAAGCACACTGCTCAGGGTGAAGAGCATGGATCAGCACTTATTTAAAATTATTGAACTTACAGAATTACTGTCGACAATGAAACATAGTGAAATCTAACTTTCGCTGTAAAGGTAAAGAATATTAAACAAATCATATACAAAAAGCTTCCAAAATCGGTTCTAGTGTCTCGTAAGTAAAATTAACTATTCTCCTTGTGTAAATTCTTTTGGCTTTACTTCAGTTACTCTCTCAGAAGCTAAATCCGAGGAAACCTTTGTCTGTTACTCCAGCACGGAAATACTCTTTTCAGGTAATGATTGTAACCTTTCTGTTTTACTGGGTAAGTTCAGGCTAAGCTTGCAGCTGCAAAAGAAAAGTTTGGACGTGAAATCCGTGTGTTTGAAATATCAACTGCTTCTTCAACGCCTTCTGATGTTTCCAGCACTGGTACTTCCTGCTTGATATGCACAGCATTATTGATACAACTTCCTAAACATGATTTTATTGTCTATTTTTCATATATGCTCATTTTATTTGGTTGTGACCTTTCTAATCGTCTTGTGCAGTGTCAGACGAGCCAGAAGACTTCTATGAGTTCACACCAGAGGATTATTATCGACTTTTGGCAACAAAAAAAGAAGGTAAGATACTCGGATTAAAAACGGCTTTAAGTATTTGCTAAATTGCGATTCCTAGTTGACCTCCAATAGAAAAAGAAAGAAAATTGTCAATTTAGTATTCTGTGGAGTTAATCGACAAATTACACTAAAACTCCTAACATTTTATAATTATTCTTACTTGTTTGCAGTATACTCACTGTTATTTCCAAATCTTTACCTTCTTCCATGGTTGTTTCCGTTCCCTCTGGCTATTCTTGTCATCTTGTTTATTTACTATAGGTCTGCGGAAAAGTATATAGGTGTTTGGTTATTTTTTGGTGCTACTCATTTTAACTGGTGTGATGAAATTTTTCGACAGATAAGCATTTGAAGACAAAGAAACTTCGCGAGGCAGAACAAGCTGCACGCAGAGCAAGGATAACTAAGGTTTTCAGATCCTTCTCTCCAGATGATCTTTTCACTTGTGTCAAGTATGCATATTTTTTGGTGTTAGTCTTTTAGTAAAGTAAGTTTTCATCAGTATTCGTAAAGGCCCGACTGAACTCTGAAACTAGGTGCAGCTGAGGCTGAACGCTTCATCTTGCTTAGGCAGTTCTTTAGTGCCTAAATAACGCTCTAAGGCCTGTGCCTCATTGTTGGATCTATCTTGAAGGAGCGGGGATAAACAATTAATAAGCTGGAAAATGATATACTAAAGGTTTAGAAAATTTTATGAATGAATATGCCAGCGATTAGGAAGAAGAAATTAAAGTTTTGCTTAAGAAAACTAGTCAGAAAGATTGAATTAAAGCTGAAAACCGCATTTTACATTTGGATTAGAAGTTTAAAATGATTTTTGAACTTAACTGACATGATTCTGTGTTCATATGTTTCACTTAATTGCAGATTTTTTTTTTCAAATTTCTTTGTACATACAACTTCTTTGTCCTTGTATTGATTTCTTCATCATTCATATGTCCTTTTTTTAGTTTTCTCTCTTTATTTGCACCTTTCTTTGGGGGCATTGACATTGCGCTTAAAGTCACAGGGGACCTTAACACTTTTCTACGCCTTTGCATTTGACATTGTTAGTTTTCATATCACATGTTGGTCTATGTTGTTCAGGCTGTACTCAGAGTACGGTTTCCGGATAATTATACGTTGGAGGCCACATTTCATCCATCAGAGACAATCCAAAGCTTACTTGACCTTCTTATGAAAGTGATTGCTCACCCTGAACTTCCTTTCTATCTCTGTAAGAGTATACTGAACAGTTGATACATTCTACTGTTCCTATATTTTGTTATAATAGCGTTGCTGAAGAAGGATTTTTGTCTATAATTTCAGATACTACTCCTCCTAAGAAGCAAATAAAAGATGTATCTCAGGATTTCTATTCTGCTGGATTTATTCCTGGTGCTATTGTCTATTTCTCTTACGATCTACCCAAAGGTTAGTGCAAACTATTCATTGGATCCTCTGCTCTTTTGTAACTTTAGTTCTTTGAAAACCTCTATTATATATTCGGACATAGAACCTGCAACAACTTGCATACTTAATATACTTACAGTGGTGATTTATTGATGTTTAATGTTTTCGGTAATCCTTCAAAGGAAACATTGCAACGCGGTGGTGTGAGGAACTAAAGTACCTTTAACTTTAAGAGAATCTGTCTCCTTGAGCCAATCATGACGAGTACGATTTTTCTTTAAGAAGAAAATCATGACGAATTCACTTCTACTTAGTCCTTGTCCTTCTAGAGGGAAGGTTTATATTTATTAATCAATAACCTGCTAAGCCATCTCTTTTGATCATTGGAACCCTGTATCTCATATTTGATTGAGCTATCAGCGATTAATTTCTAAGGATAGCTATCATCACCCGGCTTCCTTAGCTCTTTATAGGAGATGTTATGTAAAGTAAATCCTCGGCTGTAATATCGTTAGCAAGACCCTCTTAATGCTGGTTTTCATCAATAAGAGTTGTACTTACAAAAACAAAAAAAGAAAAAAAGAAACCAAGGTCTCCATCACCCATCTCTCTAAATGCTCATATACATACTCTTTTCGCCTACTTATTTACGTAATTTCTTATCTTATTTATGATTGGTAAGACACCTAAGCGGGTAAATGTACTCTTATCAATGAATATACGTAAGACACCACAAATATTTGGTTTACTCGTGCGTCAACAGGCACTTACAGTGCCAGATCGTGGCTGTCCATTTGGAAATGGGAGGCTAGAGATTGCTGAGTGCTCTCATTGATTTGAGATCAAGCAAACAATTCTTTGAGAGAGAAGCAAAAGGAGTTCCTCTCAACAGTCTATATCTCTCTTTGAGCTTCCCTTGTGGCTTTAGGCTTTTAGCATTCTTTCTGATTTCCAAACACTTCTTGCGCACACAATAAGTACACAAGGTAGCTATGCTTGATCAAGCTACGTAAGGATTAAGTGCAAGAGCTAGTTCGATGATGGCGGCATTTTTTAGTAATGCTGAATTTGGTCTCTGCCAAGAGGACAGTTTTGGAGAAGCAAGCATTGGAAAGTATACAAGAATGTGACACATGGCTCTACAATGACACTTCAATTAGATTCTTTTTTCAGATTATGGAGGGGATTCTCTTTTTGCCAAAATGGAACTTTTTTGGCTGATTTTGGTACAAGGGATAATGATGCAGGAAAACTTTGTTGATCAGCAATGTGGTAGGTGGGAATTGCTAGAGGTAGAAGGTTTTAGGTTGGGTGACAGTTAGGATTATCTTCTCTCTTTCTTCTCCTTTCTCTGGGGTTGGGGGTGGAGGTTTGCTGTATGTCGCATGGCTAAGATTTGTTCTTCCATATTGATGCTCTCTCTAGAATCAAAGGTTCAAGTGTAATTAGTAATTTTGGCATTCTTTTCTCCAATATGTCTTGGTCCACGGAGAGGGACAACGTGGTTTTAAATAATTTGGGCACATCATCTATTCAGTAGAGGTTACATGTAAAAGCATTCATGTAGACACATTCAGTTTTTACATATCTTAATTTTGAAGGATCTGCACAAAAGTACCCATACTGACCTTATCCCATCAGATATTTTAGTACGTCAAGGCAAATGAGAAGTCCATGTAATGTGAATCCGTTCTCAATGTCGACTGCTGGATGTTTGTCTTCTGTTTCGTTTGGTATATATGCCCAGTTCTAATGAATCTTCTGCTGACGTCTTTTGTGTTATAATTAGAGTTTTGTTCGTTCACATGCGCCCTCACCTCTCTCTTAAGAGTATTTTTATGGCTCATCTTATTCTCAGGTGATGATGGTGCTGCAGCATTGGGACCTTACCTTCAAGAAGAGGTCATGTCTTTGCAAGGATTGGATTCTATGATAGAGATGGAGCCTGGTGAACCTAGCAGAGATGAACCTCCCAAAACCAACCCCCCTGCTTCAGCGCCAGATCAGAAGCCTGCTGATAAGAAGAAAATTAAGCCAAAGTGGTTGAAACTGTGATATCGTTGATTTCAGGGTTATGCTATAGTCTACTCTATTCCGTGTTATTTGTAATCTTTGCTGGTTCTGTGATCAGTTTGTCAGTAGAAGCGAAAACATATGTACATGGTGCTCTTTGCTTCAACGGGATAGTCACTTTCTGGAGTTGTAGGCCACAAGAGGAGGTTGGAATTTGGAAATATGTTCCTCATCTAAATAATGGTTTCCCTTAATCCTTGATTCAGTTGGCATATAGGTTGCACTTTTAGATATTTCTTTACTTTACCTGTCAATATATTCTCAATTATCGAAAATGATAGAACATGGTTTGATTTGGCTGTTAAGATGGCACAATATTTAACCTTAAAAGATAAAAGAAGATTTTCAAAGCCATTACTTTACACACAAAGATTTGCATCAAGTCAAGTTTAGCAGAAGCAGTTAGTGCAGAATTCAGGGGAATCAAGACCGGGATTTCCTTGTTTTCTAGGCGCAACTGCTTTGTAAACTGGCTAATTGCCTCAAGTCTTCTCATTTTTTTTCTTCTGTCTGGACTTTATTCTTGTACAAAGAATGCTACCATTTTTGTTGTATTATTGTAATTGAAATATTTTACATAAGGTTTTCATTAGTATTACTATTGGTGTCATCAATGATTTGTTAATCCGATGAAGCTTCGATTTTTCTCTAAGTCCTTTGATATTATCATTGTTGGGATTCTGTTGGTTAAATCTCCACCATTATTTTCTTCCTTGCTTTGCTTGTTATCGTTCTTAGTTGTAGTGTTCCTATAGACTGCACAACACATAATATTATTCCAACTACAAACAAGGTATTAATTACATACATAGAATTATATTGAACATGTTTAGGAATTAGACTGAGGTACATTTTAATTCAAAGTAACTTTTTGTTGCCCAAAGCTTTGTGTTTTAGATTACGAAAAGCACAAACAAATTCACTAATTTGAAACTAATTTAATACAACTCTACATTGGTGAATCTTTTTTCCCCCTCCACGCTCACTGACAGCTCAAATTGGGTCTCACTTTATAGCTTGTTTGGATTGATGTTACCCATCGTTTCATAATGTGTTGTATTGTATTGTATTGTATTGTACTGTATCGTTTGATAAATATCATGTTTGGATAGATTGTATCGTTTGTCGTTGTTTCATGATATCATGCACCCGCAATATAAATAATAAATTTGCAATATTATAAAGAAAAATTATGATACGGGGTAAATTTATTATATAAAAAAGTGGGGTAAATGATAAAATAAAATAATTTAATAATAGCGAAGGGTGAGATGAGAGAAAAGGACAAGATAACGACATAACCACACCAAATCGGTCCGTTACATAAAGTGACACATTTCGTCGTTACGTAACGACAGATTTTAACGATACGATACAATAAAATTTAAGTAACAACCAAAACAAACATCGTATTTAAAGTAAAAATACGATACGATACAATAGGTAACGACCATCCAAACAAGCTGTTAGAGACATGAAAATATCCATTTTTTCAAGTCGATAAACTCAAACCAAAATACCAAAATACATTAGACCGGCAGAATGATACCCAATTAGGATTGTGTTAATTACAATATTTCTACGTTTAAATCGATGTGTCACCCGGTATTGTCAAATCCTGGATCCGCCGCTAAAGTGAGTTTAAAATGCTACAAATATATTTTTGAAAATCAAACATTTACGAGAAAACAAAAAAACACAATCTGACATATATTTCAATAGTAGTTTTCTCAAATTAAATGCATAATCCAAAAATATATTTTTTCCAAATTTTATTTCTAATTATTTTAGAAACGGAAAAGGGTTAAAAATGTCTCTAACCTATTGGAAAAAGGCTTAAAAATACCCTTCATCCATCTATTGGGCTAAAAATATCACTACATCTACTTTTATGGTTTATTTGTGCCCTTTGACCGTTAGGTCAATGCTGAATTAAAAATAATTTTTAAACTATGTTTTTGGTTATAATTTTTATATAGCTCTAAATTACGGTGCTCTAATTTTTTTTTTAAAGATTTTACCTAAAAAATAAAAATACACAGTTAAAATAAATAGTCATTGCATCAAAAAAAGAAATAAAAAGAGTGTATTGATGCAATGACTATTTAATTTTTATAACTTTTTAGATGCATTGGCTATTTATTTCAATTGTACAATCTTTATTTTCAAGTCAAATTCAAAAAAAGATTAACTAAAACTTTATTATTTTTGGCCAAATAAAAATATTTAGCCTACATAATGTAGTTCTATCCAAGTTTTATTATAAATTGCATTCGAAAAAAAATATCTAAAAATGTAATATTCTTAAAACGGTAAACATATATTTTATTTTTCAAAAAAAATCACATATACAGAAAAAATCCATGTGGCATGTGAGTGCATCTACACTTTTTGCCACATTAGCATCTAGGGGGGTAATATCTCTTAAAAGGCCAAGCTAAGGGGTAATTAAGATCGGGGGTATTTGCATCTATACCTGCTTTTTGTGCCACATTTTAACTTGTGCCCGCTTTGCAAAAAAATTGCAAGCGTACCCGCTTTTTTCGCATAATTTCAGCATACGAGGCTGAAGTAGCAAAGACAATCACGCAAAACTTCAGCATTCTAGTAGTCGGGCCTGAAGTTCAGCTCTAGAGCTGAAGTTTTTGTGTTGTAAATGGGCGGCTCTAGAGCTGAAGTTTTTTTACCACCTATTAATATTACATACTAGAGCTGAAGTTTTTTACCACCTATTAAATATTACATACTAGAGCTGAATTGTTTTACCACCTATTAATATTACACTAATAGTCGTACCCGCGCGATGCGCGGTCAATATTAAAAAAATATTAATTAAATTAAACTATGATCAGACTTGTTTGATCCTATTAGATCGTATTGCTTTAATAAAATTCAATTGTCGTCTTGTTTGTCAATACGATATACCCAATAATGAAATCTCTATTAAATCAAACGTACTTATATAGTCATTGAATAACTTTTTTGTTTCTATTTTTCTTTATTATATTAAACAATATTTAGTATTCGCTTTCTTTTTATAATATATGAGAAGATATTTAAATTATTACTATTGAATTTTTATTTTTTTAAAATTTTATTATGTTGTCCTTAATAATATTATCTAAATTTTAGTGAATAAAATCTTGTAAGCACGTGATTTTTGCCCTATATGAGAAATACTCCCAAAAAATGCAAAATAAAATGA